GTGTTAGCGCACACCTGTGGTGAAATCTTTTGCAAATCACTGGCTGCCAGCTACTCTACGAGCTGTCAACTGAGCAGCTCCCTGTAGACGCTAACTGCCAGGTCTGATTGCTGCTGCGCTGTGCATGTGTATGTTTTTGTGTATTTATGCTGGTACAAATGTTGTATTTATTTGAAAATTCCTATGTATGTGTTTGTGCTGGCTTACGTAATTAGCTTTTTTCAAGCTTCAGCTAATTCTTACTTGGAATTCAATTCATTTAGGCAATCACAATAGAAATAGTTTCTACTAAATATTTCAATGCAGAGCAAAGTTTCTCTAATTGAAGTGCTTCAACATGTTTCGCTTCAGGATTCCACTGTGTACATTTTGCTTTAAAGTCGGTCAAATGGAGTGAGTTTCAGGAGTTTTGTCGAGAAAAATCCACGAAGCTTTCCATGTTGAGAAAGAACGTGCAACTAAATTCAAATTAAGTTAAGCAATTAGCGTAGAAATAATAATAAGCACTACTTACAATTCAATACATCGATTTCACGGCTTTATAAGCACTTAATTGACAGAACTGAATGGCAATAAATTTTTTTATTCACTCCGCATATGAGTTAATGTAGGTCACTAAAATTTATATTAACGAGTATTCCAAAAAAGTTTCATATTTCTCCAAAGATGGAGGCTTCTTGAATTTACAAAAGAAACGTAAACTTGTCTCCCTAAGCTAAATACGGCTTGCTAACTGACGCTGATATATTTTTTGTAGCGGGCAACTGATGAACCAGAGCAGCTGTAGACTATACAATACTTGTATAGTTGTATTAAGAAAATCAAATAGCAAAAGGTTAAGGGGAAGTTGTGCGATAACTTACCGATTAAGGAGTTACGCCACTCAAAAGTGACGAAATGGCAACTTATTTTCGTTTCTTTTCAGACGCATGCGTTTTATTTATTCTTGAAAACCATACGTCTAAAAAAATAATGTATAACTAAATTTTAAGTCCTTCAGTTTTCGAGATATCGATCTGAAAATTCGCCTACGTTCATTTTTTCCCAAGAAGCTTGTAACTGGTCATAATCGCCGATATCGGACCACTATAGCATAAAGCTGCCATACAAACTGTCCGATCAAAACCAAATTCTTGTAGTGGACATGGCCCCGCCCCCTAATTATTTAATGTACATATCTTCCACACCGCTTAAGCAATATAAACCAAGCATGGTTAATATAGCGTCTCTATTTGAGCGCCTCTTCAAACTCTGTGTAAATGGATAAAATCAGATAATAACTACGCCCACTCCCCTTATAACGGTTATGTTGAAAACTAATAAAAGTGCAATAACTCACTAAGTAAATTCGCCACAAGCATTGAATTTCGCAACCAAGATGGCAGAGAGGGCCTTCACAGGAGCCGGTGTAAAAATTGGTCAGTGGTCGTAACACCGCCCACTTTTAGGTTAAATTCTATATCTCGGTCTATATACAAGTAAATAACAAAATTTGGTGTGTAGCGTTACCCTATTCTTATCATAGACTGTGAAAATGAGAGAAATCGGATGTCATCCATGACTGCCTCACATACTATAACAAACTTTTAAATTCCAGCTGATTCTTTTACTTAACAGCATTCAAATCAAACATCAATGAAGTTATGAGATGTACAAAGAGAGCCCTCAAGCTGTATCATCTTACGTTTAAAATGTGTCGAAATCGAACTGTAACTTCTGCCGAAAAGCATAAAATCGGGTCAGAACTTCTCTTAATCCCATATACCTTTCATAAATATTTTCGAACTTCAAGTTCACTTTATGTATACCGCATCTATAGGTCAATATGTAAGAAATCTTGGTCAGTGTATCCTCTTGCCTTAAATAGATGAAATCACAGTGATACTTTACTTAGTTAAATAGAAAGTTTTGTCCCAGGCTTTGCTCCTTGCAGTGGCGATCCTATAAAATCTTGCGTTATATCCGAACTTAGCGCATCCCTACTTGTTTATATTTGTTTCGAATAAGTTACATTAAGATTTAATGTTCCCTCAGCCAACAATAAAAGCCGCTCAAAGTCCCGTAGCACGCTCTCATAACCGAAGCCAGTGGTATGTGTACTAATAAGTAGCACTCTTTCAGCGTGGAGTCTTAATTACCGAACAAAAATTCGTTTTCATAGTTGTTACATGTTATTTCATATACTGTTCCCGTATACAAATCCAAATCGGACTAACTTCGTTATCAATTCAATCGTCCCTGAAGTGGTGTTTCTCTAATGCCGAAATTACTTTCGTGGCGATGCTACTCAAACTACAGACTAAATTACATACAGTACGCGCAAAAAGTAGGTTAACAACCACGATATTCGGTTGTTGGTGAAGTAATTGTAATAATAAAAAAAATCCATTGAAGTTGGCTTTTTCCGCTTCTAATGGTTAGCCAATTTTCCTCTCGTTTTCCTGAAAACGCATACATACATACGTTTTCATATGTTAACATGTGTATGTGTGAGTATGTCTTTGCTATTTTTGTGAAACTGAGAGAAAACGAAATTGCCAACAATTACAGTTAATTAGCGATGAATTGAGCTGATAATGAACATAGCAAACATTTGTGTTCCGTTTTTCTTTTTCAGCGACACCATTATAGTATAACAGTTATCTGTCGTTTTGTCTCGTTCGGTTGCTCAATTCTTGTGTCTGCTATTTTCTATCTTCCAATTTCTCTCTCTGTACTTTTCTTTTTTAAAGACCATACTAGTTAATGAAGCACGTTTAATTTTATGCAATTTCGTCGAAAAAATTAGAAAATCCATTCATTCGCCATTGTAGTGGTGCTAACATATCGGTTCGGAGCGGCGGCATAGTACTCGATATGCCTCTGATCGATTTAAAATGTAATTAATTTTAATGTCAACTCAGATTTGATCTAGAGTCACTACATTTGAACTCACCGCATTCAATTAGCAAATCAGCATTTTTACACATGCCGTATTTTAGAAATATTTCAATGGGTTAACCATAATACATAAATTATTTATTTAATTTCTTCTTCCACACACGTTACGCATTCAATTACTTGCAACATGCGATTTGTTACTATCTACTTGACTTTATACATATATGCAAATATTTATGCACTCATGCTTCACTATTAATTTAGTTCTGCATGAATTTATCGTAATTTATTTGAAATTCCACGATTTTTTTTTTGCGCCACGTGTGGCTAACCATTTCGTTAGCTGTCAATTACACTGTAAAATGTGGTCGCTGTCAATATTTATTCATTGAAATCTCATAGCGCATTGCCACATTTCATTATGTTTTCAATTAAACCTAAATTGCACGTTTTATCACTGAAATTGTCAAATATTAGCGGGCTTTGAGTATTCAGCGGTTAGTAAATTGAAAATTAAATAGAAAAATGCTTCATAAATTCAAATGAAGTCATAATAAATTCGTTTATAGAAAAGAAAATAGTTTTTGATAAGCTTTTTGGTTGACAAAAGCAATTTGAATTGTTTTTATCATTATATTTCAATTATTTTTAGTTAAGTTATTAAGTAAAACTCGAAAATCTATTTATCATTCAAAGAAGCCTCTCAATTATTAATGGCTTTAAGTTTAGTGTTCAAATCATAATTTTTTCGCTCTCACTTGAATGCTTATAGTCCTCCTCTGCTACTTTGTCAGCTAGAATTTAAAAATATTAACGTTTGAAGCGCTTTTAACACTTTTAACTTTATAATCCACCTAGCATGGGCACCAAGTTTATTGTTAATAGAGTAAATAATTATTACACATAAGACCGATGCAACTGGCTTCTGAATCACATGAACGAAAAAAAGAGTTTCAAAGAGCATTATAATGGAGTTAAATTACTTGAGCTAGCTGGCCAAATGACAGGCCCATTTTTATTATAGGTTTGGAAAGAAAATGTCGTCTCAATAAATTAGTGCTTACATCTATCTATTTTATGTCTATTGCTTGATGTATCCTCACAAGTTTAGAACCATCGTTAGTTTAAAGAAATTAGGGAGCACATCAAATAGTGTTTTCTTGTTAATGCAACGCAGTCTAGACTCTAGTCTATTTCTACAAGAAATATCTTCTACATATTGTCTGCATAATGTAAAGTATGAGTTGTTCCTGCTTAGTAGCATAAAAAAATCTTGGGAGCAGACTTGACTATCGACTATAATTGAGTTGCATCTATTTCTATCACTTATGTATATATATCAGTTGTAGTTCTCTCACAGCTGATTATATAACTACCCCGACATAAGAATATCAAAAAATTACTACGTTCATCTTACAAGTATTAAGTCTTGTATTATTCCCTGAACAGTGTATATTATGGTAAATTTGCAACGCAGTTTTAAACACCCAGAAACGTCGGACAATCTATAAAATATATATATATATATAAAAGATCTGCATATTGAGCTAAGAAAATTTAGGAATGCCCGTCTGTTCGTCTGTCGGTATAGAAGCGCACTAGTTCCTCTGTTTTCAGATATCGTTCTAAAGTTTTAAACACGTCCTTTTCTCTTCAAGAAGCATTTGTCGGAACTACCGACAATGAAACTCTAGGCATATAGATGGAAAACTTTTTTATTTGACAAGATATCTTCATGGAATTTGACTAAAATCGTTATCCATAGCAACGTTACAATCTCCGAACATATTATTGAGATCGGACTATTGTGGCATATAGCTGTCATACAAACATACCCCACAACATGAAATTCTAAAATGGAAAACTATTATATTTGACGAAATATCTTTCTTATATTTAAGGTGAATAATTAACCAAAGCAACGTTTCTTTAGATCGGACTATAGCATATAGCGGTCATACAAACAGACCGATCAACATCGAGTTAAAGTTCTTTTTATACTTTTCTTGGTTATAAGAAATGTGCACGTGAAGGCTATTTTAGCTTTAGTTTTGCCGATTAAAGGTTTTTCTAGTTTTCTTCATTTTTCTTCTACTCTTCTCGTTCTCTCCCTTTCCCAGGTGAGTCATCCGCATCAGCTGTCACTTCATCCGCTCCAGTACGAAAAGCGTACACAGCCTGCATACTGGCCATGCTCTTCAGTATCGTTATAATTGGCGGACACAACACATGACATGTTAATTTACAAAAACAACAAAAGCAGCAACAACAAGAAGATGAGAAACAAAAGCGCATAAGGCAAAATAAATCAATACAGATTGTACTATCCCCAAAGAAGATGAAAAGCTGCACAAAGAGAAATTCGTGCGCACAACAACACTCGACTAAAATAAAAGAAACATCGCAGCAACAGCAACAACAACCAAAATTGAACGGAGCTGTACATTAATACGGCAAATAAAAAACTAAAAAACATTTCTTCTTTAACGTATAAGTTTATATAGGCAGCCGTATTCATGGATATTAGATACAATAACAAAAACAACAACACATTGATTTATGTGTTCTACAAGCAGCGGCAAAGCAAACAACAACAACAAGAAAACACACCTTCAAGCAGTAAAAGTAATAAACAGGCTAAGAACGTAGCTGTATTTGGTGTAGTGATTGTTGTTGTTGCGGTAAGTAAAAAAAAAAACCCACAAACACGAAACAGCTGGAAAAATATGCCAACAGCAACAGGATATAGCCACGAACAAACAACACTCAAGCAACAGCAACACACATACACACAATTATACTGACAAACACACATTTATGTATATGCCTATATGACATACAAGTATACCGCACAAACAGACAAACGCTCATACAATGTCATAAACAAATGTAGTGGCAATTGAAACGTAAGAGGTGCACATATTTACAGCTATACTGTTACACTTGTTTGCGTGCGATACGGCCTGAGAATTAGTGTTATTCATACGACGCGTAGCTTCCATACAGCAAACACCTGCTGACACGTGCGTGCGGCATGTTATCTTACAAGCGTGCTGCTGTCATATACCGTTAAGCGTTTACAGCCCACAACAACAAGCCGCAATGACAGACACTAACAAACATTGGAAATCTCGCATACAACCACACACACACAACAACACAATAGAAAAGCAAGCAACAAACAGTTAGAAAAAAATCCAAAAGCTCTAAGCATAACATTAGCAAAAGTTAACTAAGCTAGGTAAATGTAAGTATACAACTAAGTATGTGCAAATGTGTTAACAGTAAAAAAAAAGACTCACAAATTTATGTGTGTATGTATGTGTTCAGCATTGTAAGAACTAACTGGGTTTTTTTCGGCAGTTGCGGCAAATTTTGCTGGATTTCGCAAGGAAATCTTCATTTTGGCAGCGGTCGATTTTTTGTATATGATTGTATTGTATTGCATTTAACTTTAATTACAAACATACATATGTAAATTTAGTTTTATAGATTTTCTATGCAGAAATCACTGTGCTAAATTTATAATATGGTATCAACAAAAAACAAGTAAAATAATAATAAACAAAACAAAAGAAAAAAGTGTAATTAAGATACTTCTATTTCAGACTTAGGTAAGTTTACAAAAACAAAAATAACTTGCAACTTACTATAAAACATTGACACATTATTAAAGTAAGTTCAAAATCATGAAAAACGTTGCTAAGAAAAGAAGTGAATAATACTATTACTTCACTCATATATAAAATTAAATATACATATGCATACTTACAAAAATTGGACATACATGTTAGTAAGTAAGCGAGTAAATAAATAAAGGCTACTTAAAAGTGGCATTAACCTTTGAATGCATAGACAAATTTCATTTAACATATTAAAAAATGCCGCAATTGTGTAAATATGCGTAATTTTAATAAAATAGTAAGCGAAATTATAAAAATGTATTAAAAATTGGATGGATTAATATATGGATGGATATATTATATAAGATGCAAGCAAATAGTTGTATCTGCAATGTACACTCTACCTTAATGAGTTGTTCTCCGCGGTATAGTATACTCTCCCTAATTCCCTCACCTACAAATACAAAGGCACATGCGAAGTCTCATATTTGCCTGCAGCACACTAAAGTATGAGAAAATGAACATATACAAATAATTTAATTTGAATATATTAAAATCTTTCTTTTTACAAACTTATAACATATTTTTTATTGCATGACATATACAATTTTATTAACTGCTAAAACTATTTTATTTTCGGCTAAAATTAAACTATAGAATTATTTTTTGTAGGAACTATTGTCAAAATATTTATCGCATGACATAAATTTTCTTATATTTGCTAAAAATTACATAAATTCACAGCAAACTGAAAACTGGTGAGATCGTTTAAAATATAATTATAAATAAAATTTCAAAGTTCATAATTTTTCCCCCGTAAGAAAAAAATTCTATTCAAGCTAAATATTCCATTCAACAAAAACGTAATAAGGAAAACACAGAATTATTAAACATACTGCTGATATAATACTTATCTCATGACATAAAATTTTTAATTTTTGCAAAAAAAATTATTTTGAAATAAATATAATGACATAAACTTTATTTCTCTTCAATTACAGTATTTGTACTTACTGCTATGATCTCATGGTATAGTCGTCTCATTCTTAATATTTTTTTTATTGCTTTAAACTGGAACAGAATAGTTAAAAATCTAGCCATTCCAAGATAAGTAATGAATAATATAACTAAGTCATTGATACTTTTTTTATGGTTTTGACTACTTCGAAATTATATTATCTCTACCTATCTGTCTCTCTCTGTGTGTCTCGCCCTATCTTCTACCCTAACAGTAAAACGAGACAACTTTATTCAGAGACACTTAATGTTTCAGCTTTTGTTGGCCCACAGATGGGCGAGCTAACCTTTTTAGGTCAACGAAAGGTAGTTTAAGTGGGGAAATTAAATATTTTGATATATTCCTCCTTTCCCAATGTACTTTTGGTTAACAGTACTTTATTATATTTCCACTTGCTTCAATGTGAATAACTTGAAACAAATTTGCTAGAAGAGCTTGACATAAATATATTAATTTTATTCTAAAGTAAGCTTTAACTCTCAAACAAAGCGTTTGAATTTTAAATGAAGCGAAATTATAAATCAATGATTCGACTTGAAAAAGTCGACGCATATGTGTATTCATACAATGTGCGGTTACACAACACAAGCAAGACAAATTAACAGCAATTATTTAACTAATTCAGCAAAAGTGTGTATGCTTTTATGTTGCTGTGTTATAGGCACAAGTATATGTATAATAGGGTGTTCGTTATTTCCCAAGTTGATTTTTTTTTCAAACGCCCCCTGAAGTTTCAGACACTATATGCATCAAATGCGCTGCATTCCTATAGTATGACCAACACTGAATGTAGAAATCACTTGTAAGAATATTCAAAAAACAAATCACTTGAGAAATAAAGGACACCCTATTGCATATAGAGCTTGTGTAAAGTTTGCTAAAGTAAAAGTGAATATATGTATGTATTCTTAACTTTCCGACCCTTCGTTCGTATGTGACATGCATATATATATATGCATACATACATATTCAACCACGCATACCAGGTACATACCTGGCATTTGACAAATTGCACACATTTTTTAGTTTCGCAAATTTTGTATTTTAAACTATAGAGAGCAAATAGGCCACACAAAGCTGCTCTGAAACGCCATGGAATTTTACCTTCCTTTGTCATTTAGTTTTGTATTTCCAAATAAATTTTTAACATCAAAAATTTTGTTAAAAAAAAAAAACTACAAACAACCAAATATGTTGAAAAATAAATGAAAATAACCAAAAAAAAAATATTTGTGTACATAGAAATTCTCTCGTGACAGTAAATTCTTTAACAAAATATGGTATAATGCCACCAACCTAGCCAAAATGAAATGCCGCATATTTTCTCAATAGAAAAATACAGAGAAAAGTCATAAAAATGGAAAAAAAACTTATTCCACATATATTTACCACAAAATAACTAGAGATAAATTGAATAATAATAATAATTTTAACTAAAACAATTGATTGTAAAATAATTTTAGAACTACTAATACATCCAAATAAGTATTTAGCTGTAAAACATTTGCTCGGGGAATGAGGTACGATGTGAATTTTTCACACTTTATTGAAACGAATATTGAAGCAGAGGCAATAAGGTTTGCTAAAGTGAAAAATTTGTGCTGACATTGCAACGCTGTAGTTGAGTTGAAACAGCTCAGTGTTAAAAGAGACAACAACGACTATATTATTTACAAACATTTTGTGCTGTACCGACATGCTGTTAAACTAATCAATCTTTTGCAGAATTTTGTGGTATTAGTAGAACTTTTAAATTATATATTTTTAAATTAAAAATGTTACTCATACGCCAAGGCGTTCAAAATTCATTTCTATGATTTCTTACTATAAATAAGAATATATGCGAGATAATTTTTTTAAATGTATGGAAAAAGGTGCAAAAGTAAATATTGATATAGTTTCTCCCCATCTTACAACTATTTTGTTTCATAAGCTTTAAAAAATAGTTTCATGTGTCCTTGAAATAGTTCGACTTTGCCTCTTGCACACCTTCATCGCTTAAAACTGAATATAATTTAATACAGATTAAATTTTCATTCGAAAAATCTAAAAATCGAAGCTCTCTGTCTTTTAACGAAGTGAAACTTCAATGTTTTTCTCGCAAGGTTTGATTGAGAGGTGCCAAAAAATTGCAGCTAATTTTTGCAATTTCTTTCTACTCAAACAAATAATTTTGCTGTAATAATTTCCTTTTTTAAGTCAGTGTGCGCTAAGTTATTTTATGCAGTACACTAATGGTCGCACTATAAAATTTTTATTAATCAAAATATATGTGAAAAAATTATATATTACCTCATATTCCGGGAAACAAATCCAAATTGAACATTAATTGTAAAAATCATGAATTTGTAGATCTAAGTTGCGCAGGAATATAAAATCAAAAGATTACACATAAACAGTAAGCTATATATAAAAAACCAGTTTGAAAAATCTCCTGATGGTGTTAAAGACTGAGCTGCTTGCTAAATTACTACTTAGTCAAAATCAATAATGGATCTGCAGTTCAAACGGAGGCAACGCTACAGTGCAATAAAAGCTAAACGCCGCCTAAGTGAAATGTGCAGTAAATAGCACAAATGTTAACTACGTATATATATGAATGTATGTATTTCTCTATTTATTTAATACTGCTGTATTATTTGCGTATATAAGTTACGGTAAATAGCCAAGCACAAGTCTTTAACATATTCACGAAATATTGAGAGAATTTTACAATAAATGCATATGTGTGTACCACTACATATACTATTTATATATAATATAAAAAACTACTATTGGTGAAACTTTAAAATACTGTAAATATGAAACTAAATGAAAAACAGCAGGCAACAACAAAAACTATTATGTATGAACTGTGTGGCTAAATTTCATGGTCGAGTAAAAGAAAATCAAATATATAATATTATAAATAAAGAATACATAAGTGTATGGTATGTATGTACAATTCCAATAA